CAAGCCCCAGGCAGCGTGACAGTGACAATGACCTCCGAGTGCAGTGTGACGCTGATCCGCGGGCACCGACCTTGCACATCGGAAATTGTGAATTGCATCATTGATAAAAATTCACTCACAGGACCAGCGCGACACTGTCTGCTCCAGCACGTCCTTTTGACTCTCGTTCATTCGCTTCTTGGTGACACCAGATCTGACTTTTCAATCAGATTTGCCAGCGCACTCTTTGAGTCGACAAAGTCAGACACTGTCACCCGTGACTCAGGTTCAACCTGTACAAGCCGAAGAAGCAGGCTCCGCCAGGCAACCGAAACATCCTCAAATTTGACACTGAAGGCGGCATTCTGAGATCGCCAGCTTTGGATCTCGTGAGGGCTTTCGAACATCGCCTTGCCCGTCAGCAACTCATACACCGTGACACCGTAAGCCCAAGCTTCTGTCTTGACACTGTAAAAAGTGTCTTTGAGCTGTACATTCCACAACTCCGGCGGTCTGTACAAGGGCGCATACGGAAACTTGCTATGAGGTGACTCATCAGTGAGCGAACGTGCAAAGGAGAGCCTCGTGATCTTGACACTGGCAGCTACCGGATCCCACAGAACAGCTGAAGGTCGAATGTCCCCGTGACACAGGCCAAGATCATGAAGTGCTGCCAAAGCCAAGCCGATCTGCTTTGTGACTACAAGCAGCCTGTCGCCAGTCAAAGGGCCTTCGCCTGACACTGTTGGATAGGACTCCTGAATGAAGCAAGGCAACATCGCCCCGTCCTGGAATGTCTGGACAATCTTGACCCAGAGTGACGGGTGCCGGATGTTGTTCTGGATGAACTCTGTGACCCTGAGGTGCTGCAAGCAGTCGTCTTTGTTCTTATAGACGACAGCTGTTGCCTTTGAAAGCAGCACGCGGTGCATGGCAGGAAAAGCTGACACTGTGGTGCCGCCCCAGAGCTCGTGACCCTGCCCCTCCATGATGTAGTCCCCCAACGAAAAAGGCGCCCCTGTCAGAGTGCTCACCGGCTCGGCTGGTGCCTGTGACGCTGCTACCTCGTCCTCGAGCTGTTTTCGAACTTGACGCCGATGCAGAACCTCACTCAGGGATTCCTCCTCCCAATGTTGCTTGCCATCTTCTGGAAGATCTCGCCACATTTTTGCAACAGTGCTTACTACCTTCCTTTGCAAGCGGCCCACGTGACCCTGACCCTCCAGATCGCACTTGACCTCAGGGTATTTCGCCTTGAAAAACAACGCATATGCGGTCCTCTTTTGGGGAAGCATGTCACGTGACACTTTTGGCGCTCCATGGCCCGCTCTCTTCCCCATCTCTACCTAAGTCGCTTGAGTCAAAGACTGCGCCTGAACATGGCACTTGACACTGCAGGCTGACGGCAAATCAATCTCAACAGCCAATCTGACCGACAAGACAGCAAGGCAAGCTTTTCAATCAATAGAAACAATGTGCAGATTGTAGGCCGAGAATTGTCGTGTCGTGACTCAGCCAGGCGGAGGCCTTTAAAATGGAAAACAACTGGGAGCGTTGTGTCGTGACTCAGCCAGAAGGAGGTCTTGGCCAAACATATATTAAATATGATTCTGTTTCATTCACACTCCGCAATTCACCCGTGACCCTGCACTTCATTTCTGAGTCTCATTGTCGTCGTCCTCACTTGTCGAGGATGACTCTGAGGAGCTGTGCTTCTCAGGCTTGGGTTGTGCCTGCTGGCTCTCAGCCTGCGGACTCGTGACACTGGTGGCTGCATCACTTTTTCCGGTCAGGCTCGCCTGACGGCTCAAGACCCTGACACGCTTGTTCAGCTCAAAGCCAGTGGTGTCTGACCCTGCAATCATCGCGTACATGACGCGAAGCAAAACGGCTTCAAAAATGACTTCCTTGTGACACTGAGAGTCACAGAACACCACCGAAGGCAGCTTTTGCCTCACCGCAGACAGCACTGACATACCAGATCCTGGCGTAAGGAAAATCAGCTTGCCCGTGACACCGTCAGGTCGGAACATATCCAACAAGGCCTCAGTGTCACTCTCCGGGCCTTCCCAGGGACACAGAAAGATCGCATCATCACGTGACTCTGACCCTGGCCCCGGGTCTGAGTCATCGGAGTGCATGACGCCAGCCAGTG